ATGTCTGCAAAGCCAACAGTACAACGTAGCCTTTTTTACTATACTAATAGTAACAAGGAAATAATGAATAAGTTTACAAGCAGTCTTGATTGACACAATATTTTTTCAAATAATCAGCTAATATTTTTTAACAATTTATTACAATGCGTAACAGAAGGTTTTCTCGACCTTGTTCTACAGAAGACGTTTAAATCGAGTGCCACTTCCAGTGCTGTCCCACACTTTCTTAAAAACAGACTTAAAAAGCTACGGAAGTAGCTTAAAGATCCTTCCGTGAGCTCGTTATCAGTTCACTTAAGAATCGTTGAAATATTTGAATTAGCTTCGAAAATGAGGCTCGCGCGAGATAGGCGTAGAGTCTTTAGCCATTAATGGCGTGGATGCTTCTAGATCTGTTGCTCAGATCTCCCGTCAAAGATCATCAATTAAGGAGTACAGTGTGCACTCAAATTGGCCGATTTTTTTGAACTAGCACAAACGACAACTTTCCAAGTTCACGGATCTAAAATGATGGAAAATTATGCCAGGAATGAAATGTGGGCAACATTTTTCTCACATCTGGTGATTGAGGATTGGAATAAACTACCTGATTCTGTTGTTCTGGAATAACCTTCCAATAAATATAAGATCTTCAGAAAATCTACACACCTTTAAGAGAAGGCTACGCCTTTATCTGAATACTGAGTCGATTAAACTTTTATTTTCCTCATCCTTCCCAGACAACTTTTCCTATGACACTGAGAAAGGTCCACCGGGAATTTAGCATGCCGCTATTAAATTTCCGTATCTGTTCACGTTTCTTTATGAGTAGTCTCGCTACCTAAGATCCCTCACCAGAAATGTTAATTATTCCAATTTTTTAGTTCATGCATCGTGCCCTCACAGAATGCACGCCATCGACGCTCTTGGCGAAACCTTCTGTATTCGCCATATACTAGTAGTTTGGTCGCATCTCCCTTCCCCCATCCTCGGTTGGACTCGGATGAATGTAATCGACCGCATCTGGGTTCCTATCGCCTCGAGACTGATCTTCATGATGCCCTCACTGAATGCGCTTCATCGATGCTCTTGGCGAAGCCTTCTATATTAGCCATATACTTGTAATCTGGTCGCATCTCCTTTGCCCTATCCTCGGATGGACTCTGATGAATGTAACAGACCGCATCTGGGGCCTTTTCGCCTCGAGACCGGTTGTCATCGTGCCCTTACAGAATGCGCTCCATCGGCGATCTTGACAAAGCCTTCTGTATTCGCCATATACTAGTAGTTTGGTCGCATCTCCCTTCCCCCCATGTTCGGATGGACTCGGTTGAATGAAACTGACCGCATCTGGGTTCCTATCGGCTTGAGACTGGTTTTCAATTTCGGCACTTATTTATCTTATTCAAGGCGATACAGGCCAGTCCTGACCGACCCGCCTACGTACCATTTTATGAAATCCGTTACACAATGCCATATACAGCTGACATCTATTTCGGCCATGTTGATGTCGGGCTTTATTCCATTTTGTACCGCCACATGCAGGCCAGTCCTCCCTTTTTTTCTGATGCTATTTTTCTGAGGGGTATTTTTTTTCTCCTTGTAAATTACTGCAATCATTTTTAAATCTTGCTTTGGAGTTTTTTTTTCACCCCTCGTTTTTTTTCATTTTCATTTTGCTTAACGGACTTCTAACCTCAAAAACTATGCATTGCACTTTGTGCAGATTTTGCCTACATCGTCTAAAATTTGCATGGAAATTTATTTTTACTTGCTTTGATGGGACCCCGACGGGTCTTTAATAAAATAATTGAATTGAAAGCGATGAGACATTTCAACGAAGGCTTGATGGCAATTTATAAAATGACCAGCTTTGTACGTGATAAAAAGTGATAAAATGTACACGTATCTCTGCGTAAACATACGTACGTTTTTCCAGTCTATGTCTGTAAATAGGGTTTTCAAAGGCTATGCTTATCTCCCTTATATATACTGAATTATACTGAATAAGCCCCACCAAGTCACTCCGCCTTTGCTTAATTCCAATGAGACCTTCATTACAGAGGAGTTAGGCAAAGCAGAAATGTGAAATTCATTCTTTGCCAATTATATTATAAGTAAGACTGACTTAATGCCATTGACTTCTCCCCTGTCTGATGCCTCTCTCAGCACCATTAATTTTGCTTCTGCTATTATTTTAAAACTGGTAAATCAGCTTACTAACTCGCACTCAGTAGGGACTGACAGTATGCCAAACTCTCTTATGAAACAGTTAAGAGACTCCCGTGTCTGCTTAGCAAACTCTTTTCAGTCTTTCTCGAAAATGGTTTCTTTCCTGACTATTTGGGAACCTCTATTATTGTTCCAGTATTTAAGTCTGGCTGTCGTTCTGATGCTCAAAACTACTGAGTTGTCCATGAAAAAAATCTACTCTCTCCAAAATCCTTGAAGAAAGTTATCGCCATGGAAATTACCGACTCTTGCATAGCCAATCAAGTTATTAACCCTTCTCAGCAGGGCTTTTACCTGATTGGTCTTGTGAAACGTGTTATATGTCGTTTCTCAATCTGCTTTCTTCTCGCCGTTAGGATCATTTTTCGTTGTTGTTTATTTTGGTCTTAGTACAGCCTTTGATAATGTGCCACATAAAGGACTCTTAGTTAAATCAGAAGCTCTGGGACTTCGCAGTCCGCTTAAAAACTGTATCAAGTCATACCTGCCTAATCGTAAACAAAAGGTTTAGTGGGATCTTCGTTTTCCAATGACTTTTCTGTTGTATGTGGTGTCCTACAAGGTACTGGTTTAGGTCCTCTTTTGTTCCTGCTTTACATAAATGATATCTCCGCGGCAGTTAAACATTCTCAACCATTTATTTATGCTGATGATCCAAAACGTGTATATTCATTCAATAAATCCACGACCTTTATTGCCGGAAGCAACTCCATGCCGACTTGCTTGCTCTCTCAGCGTGGAACTCAAAATGGCTAATGAAATTCTCTCCCTCTAACTGTTGCTATTTGTATCAGTATCAGTATCAGTATATTTCAGGGAAAGTAGGTGTGTACCTTTGAAATCCCTATTGGTTACATGCAGAGGATATATATGGAGGAAATGGAAAGGAAGTAACATGAAAGAAATGTGTTTTGGATCTGATTGGCTAGCCCGTCCATTGGTCTTTCTCGGCACACCAACGACTGATTATACCACCAGCAAATATTTAGGTTTAAACTATACAAATTATCTTGATCTCTCGCCAAACGCTGGCAGAATTACAGCCGAAGCTGTCCAGAGTTGTAGTCTTATTTCTTGCAATTTCTATCCTCCTGAAATTAAATTAAGACTCTATCGGATGTTTGTACTTCCCCTTCTCAAGTATTATTGCCACTTGTTTGGTTTGTGGAGTAGAGCTTGTATTTCGAAGATTGAAATTGTTCAAAGACACTTTACTAAAAGACTCTTGGGTATGGAATATCCAGATATTTCATAACCAAATCGATGCCAGCTAACTAACCTAAAATTTTTATGAGTTGGAAGGCTAGAAGCAGGACTCTGTCGCGTCTGTCGCATTATAAGTTGTACAAATTTCCCTCGGATCTCAACCCTTACCCCTAATAGTTGCCAATACAATCCTCACAATTCATCCTTTATTATTTCTTCTCCCGGTTCTTCCACCTCTAAGCACTCTTTTTTTCGCTTCCAGATATACTTTCCTCTGGAATAACCTTCAAATAGATATAGGATCCTCAGATAATCTAAAGACTTTTAAGAGAAGGCTGCGCTTTTATCTGAATACTGACTCGATTAAACTTTTGTTTTCCTCATCCTTCTCGGACAACTTTCTCTATGACACTGAGCAAGGACCATAAGGGATTTAGGACGCCACCACTGAAGTTTCGTATCCGCTTACTCAGTTTATTTGGTAAGGATAACAGGCAAAGCCTTTGAAAACCCTACTGATTACATGTAAGCTAGTTAGAAATAACTGTACACGAACAATGAGAATATTCGTTATGAAGCCATGAATATTCGCTATTCGATTGAAACATTCCCATAAAGGAGTGTTGTTTCAGCCGGACTCCCCCCTGCCGAGAGAATGAAACGTCGCGAACTTGTCCTAGAACTGAGAACACGGCAAACCAACGGAGGAAAAAAACTTGACAATCTACAAAGACCGAATAGTCAAACGACATTCTGCTCCCCTCTGGATCCAGCCGATCTGAATGACCGCACAGATACCCCAGTGGCCTGTGTCGGGGTTAAAAACAAGTCTCGCATGAACTCGAAACTCATATTCATGCATACCAACGTACAAAGTGTACTTTCAAACCTGCATGAACTCACTATCCATATCTATGACCTCCGCCCAGACTTTATCTCAGTAACAGAAACATGGTTGTCCGAACAGGTTGATGATAGAGAGCACATGCTCCCTGGATTTCAACCATTCGGCGAAGACAGAGAGAAGAGAAGGGGTGGAGGCATAGTAACATTTGTTAAGAATGGCTTACACGTCTCAGAAAAAACCCGCCAACTGACTTATAGTACTGAAACATTATGGCTGACCATAAGATCACCGGTCTCTCAAAGCCTCGATATCTTGACAGTGTACCGCCCCCAAGGAATGACCCTGACGGTGATGTCCAACTGCTGGAGGAGCTCAGATTATTTTCAACGCGGCCGACTACTCTCGTCGTTGGAAATTTTAATGCACCTCTCATAAACTGGAGCGCGGCCTTAGCCGACTGTTCTGAAGCAGCATTTGACCAGCAGCTACTGCGTACATCTGACAACCTGCTTCTCACTCAACACCTAACGTTTCCAATGAGAGTTCGAGAGGGCCAACAAATTAACTGCCTCGATCTTGTGTTCACCAAGTCGTCCGACAACCTCGACGTTGTTAATTGACTCCACCGTTGGGTCAGAGTGATCATGTAGTCCTCATATGGCAGTACACCTTATTCTCCCTACCTGCGCAACCGCTCGATTCCCGACCCAATATCTGGCGCGGCGATTTCGAGCAGATGAAAGGGGATCTTAGTCCTATCGACTGGGCATCCACTCTCTCCGGCGATGTCGAGGAGGTTTGGTGTCAGTTCATAGAGTTAGTCCACAACCTCATCTCCAACCACTGCCCAATCATGCGCAGAAGACTAGCAAGTAGACCCCGCTGGTTAACTCCGTTCTTAAAGAAGGAAGTTAACAAGACGAGGAAGCTATGGAAAAGATCCCTGACTGACCGAACGCCAGGATCCCTAAGCAGTTATAAGTTACATAAAAATCGGGTCAAAATTCTCATCGCCAGAGATTGGAAAGCCTTTGAAAAGGATCTTTTGAACCGTGCCACGGTTAATTCCAAAATCCTTTTAGCTCCATAAGACACCGCGCACGGCACCAAGACCCCAACCCACTGCTGCGAACAACCGAGGGAACGGAAATATCTGATGACAAGGATAAGGCTGAACATCTCTCTCAGTTCTTCCGGTCCGTCGAGACAAGTGAAACTGAATTTTTCTCGCCTACTTTTGAAGACGAAGGAACGCCTACCCTCGAAGCCGTCTTCTTCACCGAAAAAATTGTTCGGAATGAGTTAATAAACCTAAAAGAATCGACCTCCCCAGGCCCTGATGCAATCCCGGCCAAGCTGCTGAAGGAGCTAGCTCCCGAAATGTCCACGCCGTTAGCCTTGATCTTCCAAACGTCATTTGTTACTGGATGCCTGCCCTCTGACTGGAAGTCCGCCAACATCACTCCGCTTTTTAAGGATGGAAGTTGTGCGTCAGCAAATAACTACAGGCCAGTGAGTCTTACTTCCATCTGTTGCAAAATCACGAAGAAGATCATTAAGAAGGGCTTGATGCAGTTCCTCGAGCAGCACCACCTCTTCTCCGATGCCCAACACGGCTTTCGAAGTGGTAGGTCCTGCCTCACTAATCTGCTCTTCACGCTCGAACTCTGGACCAAAGCACGCGATGAAGGCAGTGTGGTGCACACCATCTGCATCGACTTCAAAAAGGCCTTCGACAGCGTTCCTCACCAACGTCTCTTGTCCAAACTGTGCGACGCTGGAATTCGTGGACCCCTTCTTGTATAGATCGAGAGCTTTTTGGCTGGACGATCCCAAATAGTGCAGGTAGGGCGTCGACAGTCCTCAGAGATAAGCGTGGTGAGTGGCGTCCCACGGGGCTCAGTTTTAGGTCCCACGTTATTCCTCGCTTGCATAAATGACTGCATCATGGACCTGGATTGTGATGCCATCCTGTTTGCCGACGACATCAAATCGGGGAAAGTTATTCACAATGCGGCAGACACAGACCACCTGCAAGCAAACTTGAACAGGCTCGAAGACTGGTCGAAGCGCTGGCTTATGCCCTTCACTAAAAGCGAGTGCAACTTTCTTCAACTCGGCAGCTTCAGAGCCTCCAGCTCCAAGACTTATTTTCTACACAGCACACCACTGCAACAGGTTGACAGTCAGAAGGACTTGGGTGTATGGATTACATCCTCACTCAAACCAACACTGAACTGCGCGAAAGCGGCTAAATCAGCTACGGCCACATTGCAACTCATTAGGCGAGCATTTATGGGATTTGACCCTGACTGCTTTTCCAACATATTTGGCACCTTCGTGCGACCTCAGCTGGAATACGCCATACAGGCGTGGAGACCTTGGGCTGCCAAGGATTATACCGTCTTGGAGAAGGTTCAGAGACGGGCGACCAATATGACACAAGGTCTGGGAGCACGACCCTATGAAAACAGACTGTCAAATTTCAACCTGTTTCTCCCTTCCTAGGGGCAATTACGTGGTGAACTCATACTAACATTGTGCATTATCAGCGGTCTAGACTGTCGTTTAGATCTCACTGATTAATTCACTCAAGCTAACACGCCTACTTTGCGCGGTCATCCCCTAAAAGAACGCGCAGGGAAATCAAGAATCAGTGGACGAAATTCCTTTTTCAGTAACGGAGTGGTTGCAGTGTGCAATGCCATGCCTGCCGATGTTGTAATCTCCTCCTGTGTGAATTCCTTCAAGTGTAGACTTAACGCATATCAAGCTTCATAAATACCAGCCTTAAATCCACTCGCATAACTCGGCACCAACTTAGGCGTGCTTATACTACTTGTAATTAGTAAGTAACTGTTAACGATTACTCGTTTTCGACTAGCTGTCAGCTGTCCGCGATTATGTACAAAATCGCACTTTTGCCTTTCCACTTATCAATGTTTTTCTCAGAGGACTTGTTCCCAGTAGGGAGCTAAAAGGCGCTCGCCTATGTTTCCTTTAATAAACTGAAACTAAAACGGTACTTGATTCATTTGAATAGCATTGTGTCAGAGAAAACATTTGCGGGGTCGCTGCGTATTTAGTTAAGATTCAGACCGTCGAGGGAAAACAGAGGACACGAATAATCATCCAAGCGTTTCATGAAGAGTTGCGGGACGTCGCCTCCAAGACTGACTGAGGGAGGTCGTTCCATTTTCTCATGACACTTTGCGTAAAAAAATTCAGAACGAAGATTCAGTCTGGACATTGTTGTCCGTAACTTCATCAAGTGACCATTAAGATTGGGTGAAATGTGTCACTGAAACATGTCCTCAAATCTAAGTCCATGCTCAAGGTCATGTATTATTTTGTAGACGAAGGTAAGATCTCCTCTTCGCAGCCTGTCACAGAGAGAGAATAAATTAGGGCAGTTCAGTCTCTCTGTGTAGGATTGGCCTTTTAAATCGTTTACCAGCTTTGTTACACGACGTTGCACCCGTTCGAGACATGCTTGGTCCTTTACTTGCCATGGGCGTTATGCGTGTAGGCCATATTCCAAATGGGGCCGGAAAAAGGTGCCGTAAACTCTCCCAAAAGGTCTTGGTCAAATGTTACGAACACCCTTTTAATCGGATGGAGCACTTCCATGGAATTTTTTCTGGCCTTGTGACACTGCAGTGTTGGTTTCAGGTCGTTCTATAACCAAACCCCGAGATCCCTCTGTAAAGATTCTGCGGGAAGCCTTATTTCTTTCAGTTGATATGTCCTGAGCCTTTCATTTGAATGAGAGTTGCGTGGACGGCGATGAAGGACGGCACACTTCTGCACATTGAGCTTTAGAAGCCATTTCTCCGAACTCGCTTGCAGTCCGTACAGATTACCATGAAGAGATCTTTGGTCATTCGGACCCTTAATGACTTGCCAGAGCTTAAAGTCGTCGGAAAACATTATTTTAATACTGCAGAGTTCCCGAAGGTTGTCATTAACATACAGGATGAAGGGCAAGGGTCCCAGAACTGAGTCTTGGGACACGCCATTGGTCACATTCACCCATTCCGACATATCATCTCCGATACAGACACGTTGTTTCCGACCAACCGGAAACGCCCTTATCCAGTTCAAAAGATATCTCCGGATGCCGATGGCGCTCAGTTTATAAAAAAGGCGTTGGTGCGGAACAGTATCGAAAGCTTTGCGGAAATCGAGGTACGCGAAATCGCCCTCAAAACCCTCTTCTAGAGCCTTGGTCCAGATTTCCAGACAAGCTAGCAGATTTGAGAGGCAGGGACGTCCTCTCCGGATGCCATGCTAAAAATCCCGTAAAAAGTTATTTTCTTCGCAAAATTTCGGTATGGCGCTCTTTACTAGAACTTCCATTGTTATGTATGAAAGACAAGTTAAGCAAGTAGGCCTGAAGGTGTTTGCTGTCATCCTGCTACCTCCCCTATGTAATAAGACGAGGGTAACTGTCTTCCACTGTGATATTAACCTCCCTGTTCTCATTGACAGTTCAAAGAGAGTCGAAAGAGGCTTTGACAGCTCCTTTGATAGGTTTTTCAGCATAAGCTCAGGAATTCCGTCGGGTCCAGGAGACTTATCTGGTCTTACTTGACCGAGGACACGTCTTACTTTTTCGACGGAAAAGACAACGGTTTCAATGACGGCAGTATCTTGGCGCATTTGAAGCTCCCAGCTGTCTCGGTCCATTTCAAGCTGCTGATTGTCTTTTGAAGATTCCTCCGTAAAAACTGACTGAAAAAACTAAGACAATAATTGCACTTTCTGTGGCCACTCAACTAATAAGTTTGCGAGGCTATCCTTCAGACACGCAATTTCGTCCGTATGTTTTCTCCTACTGCTGATGTACCCTTAAAACTACTTGGGACATGTAATGAGTTCTGCTATCAGTCAGCGCTCGAAAGAAGTTAACGTAACCCGTATCTGTTTGCGGCATTTATTGCTCTGATCCTTATATTCGGCGAATGACATTGGATCTCGAAGATGCAAATACTTTTTCCACAGTCTCTGCTTCTTCTTCATGCTCTTTTTGTCGACGGATTGACACACGACGGTCGCGCACATGGTCTTGTTAGGATTATTGGACAATGGGAGTCAATTAGACGCTCTATAATCCTTTGAAAGTACTGCCAGAATTCTTCTGAATCTTCCGTGTTGACTAACCGGGTTTCCTTCAAAAGAGTACGTCTCATTGCATAAAAGTCACCCATCCAAATATAATAATTATAATAATTTAATAATTCTATTTATTTAATGTCAAATTACAGGAATTGTCAGGGAAGCGTTGGACACAAATCCGGCAAGCAGTGAAATAACTCCTGTGGAAAAGGAATAAAAATAAAGTTGATGGCGGTTTTCATGGTTTGGAGGGTTCAGGAGAAAAAAAACTGCTGGCGGCCAATTTTCGACCGTCAAGAATGGAGGGGTTGCACGGTATCGGAGATTATCAGACGCCAATTCCTTTTACGAAGTTGGGGCTAGTCCAAACAGAAGCGCCGAAGAACAGCTGTCGCTGATGGCCAAAGGAATTTTCCCTGGTGAGACCGGCCATAGTGGTCAGAGACCACAAACGCCATCGCTTCGGTAGAGTCGATCAGTGGATTCAGCACCCAAAATTTGTGAAAGCTTTTCTGAATGCAAAAACCGAGTAATAGTTCTCTTAAATAAAGGATAATTTTGCATATTTTTTACACTCCTCGGTAGTTAATTTCAAATAGCAATTGCATTTACAGAAAAGAACCGACGATATTTAACAGCACGTGCCAGTGGAAGAAATAAAAAGACCTCACGGTGACTGTTACGTCAGGGGTGGACATGATGCCTTAAAGAGGTAAGTGTGATTATATAAGAGTGTGATTACATAAGTGTGATTATATAAGATTATATAAGAGCTTAAATATCAAAAATAGTCCATTTGTATTCTACGGAACCAAAAAGAATCAAGGACCGTAAGCCGGCAACGTTCTCGGTAAGACAAATTTCGGTGTTCCGGGGTTAAAACTCTCTTGCAAAAAAGCGTTGAACGGATTCTATTTTCTTCCGCTCAGTAGCACGCATGAGGCTGAATAAAAACGAACGGTATTCCAGGCTAGGTCTAACGTACATGTTGTACGGGGCATTATAATTTCACTAGTTTTTAAGTTTCGGAGGATAAATCCGATCGCCCTACGTTCTTTGGAGACTATCAAGGCACAGTGCTCCGAGAGATTGAGATTCTTGGAGTATGATACGATCAGATCCTTTATAACCCCAGGCACATTTATGGCGTAAACTTCAATGCTTATTTGAGGTTGGCGGTTGTCGCCAGCCACCATGACTGCGCACTTATGCGAAGAAAGAGAAAGTGGCCATGTGCGGCACCACTGGGCGAAAGCCTGTAGGTCGATCTTTAGGAGCTCAAGCACGATGTCACGATCTGCCGGCTTATATCGATATGCAACTTTAAGATCATCGGCATACATGAAAGGCTTACCATTCTGAAATAAATCGGGTGCATCATTAACGAAAAGGTAAAATAAAAGCGGGCCGAGTACAGTACCCTGAATCACTCCACACTTCACACGTGTGGGGTTGGAGATAGCATTGGAAGCCTTTACTCGTTGTGTACGAGTGCCCAGGTAAGAGGATATAAAATTCAAAAGTTTACCACCTATTCCGAAAGAGGACAGTTTCAAGAGAAGAAGAGCATGGTCAACACTATCAAAAGCCTTAGTGAAATGCAAAACCATTGTCCCCAGATTGGATAACATAGTCAAAGAAAGATAGTTGACAGGTGTCACAAGATCGAGCTTTGAGGAATCCATGCT